CTGACATGATACCTGGCTAACAGGATACTTGGCTAACAGGCTGACATGATACCTGGCTAACAGGCTGACATGATACCTGGCTAACAGGATACCTGGCTAACAGGCTGACATGATACCTGGTTAACAGGCTGACATGATACCTGGCTAACAGGATACTTGGCTAACAGGCTGACATGATACCTGGCTAACATGATACCTGGCTAACAGGCTGACATGATACCTGGCTAACAGGGTACTTTGCTACCAGGCTGACATGATACCTGGCTAACAGGATACTTGGCTAACAGGCTGACATGATACCTGGCTAACAGGCTACCTGATACGCCCTCATAGCTGATGCTCTGGAACTCGGCGTAGTACACGGCTTTCTCCAGCATGCCCAGGAAGATGACGCCACCTATCCAGAACTGGATCCGCAGCAGGCTTCTCCAGTAGCAAGCGGACAGAACCAGCCACAGCACGGCCAGCAGCACATAACCGATGCACATCACCATGTAGAACTGCAGAGACACAGACAAGTTAGCAGAAAGAGTTAGCCAGTGGAGTTAGCAGGAGGAGTTCAAAGGAGTTAGCCAGTGGAGTTAGCAGGAGGAGGTGACTGGAGGAGTTAGCAGGAGGAGATGGGTGGAGGCGTTAGCCGGAGGAGTGATTGGCTCACCCCTTGCTTCAATGTTCTCCTGTTTTACCCATTTTGAACATAGCTCCAGGGAAAGCAGCCCTCTGAGGTCAGTCACGTTTATAACCCAGACAGGAAGTCTGATGACATCATGTTTCAGATCTTAACTCTAAATATGTTTTATAAACTAAAAGATGTTTCAGTCGGATTTGCTTCCTTCTGATAATTCTGGGACGTGGATTTTGTAGAAAAGGTTAAAAAAATTTATTTAATAAACAAAATAAATTTTAAAAGCTGGGATGTTTTTATCTGCTGCTAAATAAATTAATAAATTAAGATTTTATACACATCTTAACCAGGAAACATGTTTAATGTGTGTGTGTGTGTGTGTGTGTGTGTGTGTGTGCGTGTGTGTGTGTGTGTGTGTGTGTTGGGGTCTCACCACCATCAGAGGCCACTCGGTGGCTGAGATGAAGCCATGAGGTCCCTTCATGCTGACCTGAACTGGAAACAGAAACACAGAACCAGTTCAACCAGGAAGAGACCAACACTCTGTGTGTGTGTGTGTGTGTGTGTGTGTGTGTGTGTGTGTGTGTGTGTGTGTACGGACGCTGCAGTCTCCATGGCCCGGTTCCGGTCTTCTGGACCTTGATGATGAACATGTAGGGTCCGTCCTCCCAGGACCGGGCCACGATGTCGAAGTCGCTCTGAGGAACAAACAGGGTCAGCTCCCTGACCTTTCACCCCGCAACAACCCCTGACCCGGTTCTGGTGACCCAACAAACCTGATTAGAGGAGGCACCAGCAGCCTGAGGACCAGAGAAGAAGAAGAAGATCAGTCGAGTTCACATGAAGGTTCTGGACCACAGGTCCAAACGGCTCTGATCGGAACCGGACAGAACCGGGCCGTACCTTTGGTTCTGGTTTCTTAGCTTCCCTCCTCCTCCTCCCGGAGTTTTCCTTTGAGTCAGAATGGAAAGACAACATTAGAGTTCAGAACCAGAACTGGACCGGCTGATACGGCCGAACCAGAACCACACTCAGCGACGATGCGTTCACTGACCGCAGGTAAAAACCAAACTTGTTGACCTGAATTGTGAACTGGTCCAACAGGTCCGGTTTCAACTCCAAGGCTAAAGTATTGACCAATCCAGAACCGGGTCGGGTCCAAACAGCAACCAGGGTTTCTGCTGCCTCCAGCAGCACAACTTTAACCTTTTAAAGGTCGATTCAAGGTCACCGTGAGTTACGTTAAAGGTCACAGAATCTATCCTGCTGTTTTACAGTCCTGACGAGTCTGTCAGCAGCTCTGCAGCCGGACCCGGCTCGGTTCTGGTCGTTAAAAGGCATCAGGAGAAGAACAGCAGAATGATTCTCTCTCTCTCAGCTGGAGGAAACCACAGATTCACTGAAATTAGTTTACTGACGGCAAAACCGCAGCAGAGCGTCGTCCAGGCAACAGCAGCCGAGTTGTTCCTTCAGCTGTCTGTGTCCTCCAGGTCTCGATAACTAAATTAATTATTATTTCAGCGATTAATCAGTTCGTATGTACTGGCTACAGAAGTACAGTTAAAGCATTTTTAATTAAATAAATTCAGGTTTAAT